GAAGGGCCCTACCAAGTACTGCCTTTGCCAGCAGAATAGCTGAGAGATCCATCTGGGTGCATGTCACTCACTGCAAAAAGGTAAACCCAGCTACACCTGACGAACAAACACAGAGTTAGGAGAAAGATCCGATCACCACTAGGGTTCGGGGGTTGGCTCCTTAACGAAGATTCCCTTACCCTGTCTGATCATCCCTGTGTGAGTTCGATAGAAGGTGAAGCAATGGGTTGGCCTCTGGCGTCTGACATGTTCTCAGGGCGAGGGTGGGGATTCACAGGTCTCCCGACGGTAGGTAGCTGTCTGATTGTGGGGGCCATATTCCTAACACACACGGACCCTCCTGTTTCAGCCAGAAGTGGTAGTTAACCTAACACAAGTTGAAAAGGCATAGGAGACAGCTAGACGTAGGAAAAGGGAAATACTAGGGACTTTAGGGAAGGACATCACCAATCTCCATACACCGTTTAGGGACAGGTGGAGTATTGTGAAAGTAGGGAATTATCAGAAATGGCAGTGCGACCCATATGAGGGTAGGTACTGTCTGAAAGTCTGAATTATGCTAAAACAGATTACAGACCTGACAAGTGAGATATCTTCTTCAACTGGGGCACCCTATAGAGTAAACCTCTCTGAGGGAGGTAGTGAGACAGTGCAAACTATAGACCTGAAGGAAGTAGTACAGATGGAGATGGAGTAAATAGATTTTAACCTGTGGTTGGAATGGATTCAGTATACGGTCTAAAGAGGACTGTTATGCCTGTAGGACAGCCAAACCAAGGTTAACAACTACTCCGTTCCCCTTGACAGGCTTTGACTCTCTGTCAGGTTTATCCTCCATGCAAGCCACCTGGGAATGTGGTGAAAGAGTCTTATGGTAACTTGCACTATCTGTTTCCCCTGATAACAAAGTCATCCCGACCTGGGTTGCCTCAGTTTGAAGTCACAGGGGATTCTTATTGTTTTTCTAGGACTAATAAGATAGGATACAGGGTAGGGCATCTTAGCTCCTGCTCCCACACAGAGAATGTCACAACTAAAAGAGACCATGACTAATCTCTCCTCTTTGTTGCAGCCAGAGGATTTTAGGACCCAAAACCAGGCCCGTGCTGACATCTGATGGTTGTGTGGTGATAACTGATTGTGAACTCACCTACATACGCAAACAATCAAACGTGTCAGAGACTGGTGAGTTGTCACGTAGAAAGTAGGACCTCCTCCCGGGATCCTTTGATGAAAGGATATATATTGATGGGATCCACAATCAGATTGTAGCTGGGTTTGAATCAAGTATTTTCTGGTGGTCAACAATTAATAAAAATGTAGATTGGATAAATTATATTTAATATAACCAGCAAAAGATTTATAAACCACACTCGTGATGCAATAAAGGGATTAGCTGAGCAGACAGCGGCAACTAGCTTAATGACATGGCAGAATAGAATAGCTTTAGATATGCTTTTGGCTGAGCGGGACGGGGTTTGTGTTCTGTTTGGATATATGTGCTGTACTTTCATCTCCAACAACACAGCACCGGACGGGTCCGTGACCAAAGCGCTTGAGTGACCATCACCACGCTGGCGAACGAACTGGTTGAGAACTCTGGTATTGATAGCTCCATAAACGGTTGGTTTGATAACATATTTGGTAAAATGGAAAACTATTGTTGTGACTATTCTGGGTGAAGTTATAGCTTCTATGGGTATACTTGTTCTTTGTGGATGTTGTCTTATTTCCTGTGTCTGAGGGTTGGTGAGAAAAGGAGATGGAGAAGGTGGTTTCCAAACAGATGGTGAGATACGGCCCAATCCCGGACTCCGACCTAAGGAATGAAGGATATGACCTACCAGGCTTGGTGGAGTGACACTCTAGAGGGTGTCTAAAGGGGGCCAAAATTTACTTCCCTGTTGGTGTTATATGTTTTAATAATCTTATGTTTTGTGTTCTATTAATCCTGTGTTTTATGCTTTATTAATCAAGTTAACCATTGAGAATGTTTGTCTTTCCTTATGTGAAGGTTTGACGTGCCTGGGTGACTTGTGGCCAACCGTTTGCAAGTTGGGTGTAGATGGAAGGACTGAAGGACTTTTATTATCAAATTGTCTAGTAATAAAAGTGTTTATTTTTTGTTTGTATTGTATTTTAATGAGTGACACCCTAGAGGGTGTCAAAAGGGGGAATTGTTGGGTTTTATTTTTCTCATAATTGGATCTGTATGTGATGAATAGCTTGGAAGGAATGCATTAATGAGGAGCACTGTACTGATATGGATTGTTTCACATAACAGGCTGTTATTCATGTGGGGAACGTTGGGGGTAGGACAGATAAGACTTGTGTTTCTTGCAGATGCGAACACTCTCTCTTTGTAGTCTGTGAAACTGTCCTTGAACATGGAGTACAGTGGAATGGTGTCTTTTAGGTGCTGACTCCGCAGGTTATTATCATAGCAACTATGCCTGGCAACAAATGGAATGCCGAGGAGTTGGGACCAACCCCTGCGCCAACGGATTGGCTGAATGGAGTCTGGACCACACTCAGTCCTTTGCTCTGGTTGGCCAACAGAAGAGGTGGAGGCTTTCTGTCAGAGTATTTGAGAAAGAATCTGTAAACAATAATTCTAGTTCTCTGTCGGCCCTGCGTGGTTTTTCAGTGAGCCCGTATACGAACCTTCATACTTATCATACATACATTTTGCATATAATAAATTAAGCTTGGATTGAAGATCTCTTGATTCTTATTCCAATACCAGATTTGAATTACGCAATTTCTAACACTAGTAAGATTGCACCTAAATCAACCATTTATCGGATCATCAAGAACTTCAAGGAGAGAGGTTCAATTGTTGTGAAGAAGGTGTCAGGGTGCCCAAGAAAGTCCAGCAAGCGCCAGGACCGTCTCCTAAAGTTGATTCAGCTGCGGGATCGGGGCACCACCAGTGCAGAGCTTGCTCAAGAATGGCAGCAGGCAGGTGTGAGTGCATCTGCACGCACAGTGAGGCGAAGACTTTTGGAGGATGGCCTGGTGTCAAGAATGGCAGCAAAGAAGCCACTTCTCTCCAGGAAAAACATCAGGGACAGACTGATATTCTGAAAAAGGTACAGGGATTGGACTGCTGAGGACTAGGGTAAAGTCATTTTCTCTGATGAATCCCCTTTCCGATTGTTTGGGGCATCCGGAAAACACCTTGTCCGGAGAAGACAAGGTGAGCGCTACCATCAGTCCTCTGTCATGCCAACAGTAAAGCATCCTGAGACCATTCATGTGCGGGCGGCAGGTAGCTTAGTGGTTAAGAGCGTTGTGCCAGTAACCGAAAGGTCGCTGGTTCTAATCCCCGAGCCGACTAGGTGAAAAATCTGTCGATGTGCCCTTGAGCAAGGCACTTAACCCTAATTGCTCCTGTAAGTCGCTCTGGATAAGAGTGTCTGCTAAATGACTAAAATGTAAAATGGGTTGCTTCTCAGCCAAGGGAGTGGGCTCACTCACAATTTTGCCTAAGAACACAGCAATGAATAAAGAATGGTACCAACACATCCTCCGAGAGCAACTTCTTCCAACCATCCAAGAACAGTTTGGTGACGACCAATGCCTTTTCCAGCATGATGGAGCACCTTGCCATAAGGCAAAAGTGATAACTAAGTGGCTTGGGGAACAAAACATTGACATTTTGGGTCCATGGCCAGGAAACTCCCCAGACCTTAATCCCATTGAGAACTTGTGGTCGATCCTCAAGAGGCGGGTGGACAAACAAAAACCCACAAATTCTGACAAACTCCAAGCATTGATTATGCAAGAATGGGCTGCCATCAGTCAGGATGTAGCCCAGAAGTTAATTGACAGCACGCCAGGGCGGATTTTAGAGGTCTTGAAAAAGAAGGGTCAACACTGCAAATATTGACTCTTTGCATAAACTGAATGTAATTGTCAATAAAACCTTTGACACTTATGGAATGCTTGTAATTATACTTCAGTGTACCATAGTAACATCTGACAAAAATATCTCATAACACTGAAGCAGCGAACTTTGTGAAGACCAATACTTGTGTCATTCTCAAAACTTTTGACCACGACTGTACATAAGAACATTGTGCTAATTTGTACATATAGTACATAATTAATGAGAGACTGGGTTGCTCCTTCGATATAAAGTTGTTTTTCATGAAAATGAAAACGTGTCAGTTTGTCACTCACGACTTTGTAATAATGACATATTCAGCTACATAAAATAATTGGTTTGAATCTAGGTTGTACTATTAGAAATCGAGAAAATTAACAACTTAGTTTGAATTGTTCACTTCTGTCATTGTGCACGTTTGAGTGGTAAAGCGAACACATTCTAGAATCAAACCGTGAGCGAGAGCCTCAAATATCACATTCATTTGTATTCCTCCATTGTACATGAATTGCGGCAAAATTGGTTGCTGTTTCAGTCAGGTCACATTCGCGTGGGTCAAACAAAATCACCCTAATGAGTGGCTGACAATAGATCCTCCCACAATACAGGCGATGGCTGCAGGATGAAGTCGGTAAATCAACTGCAGAAACTTGCAGTAGACAGCAGTCAAAACTTCATGACCTTTGATCACGTGATTTTGTAAAGTTCATGTAGTTGACGTTCAGGCCCAAGTCGGACAATGATTTACCCCATGATGCAACACACTTTGAAAGGCTCGAATTTGCCCATTGCCTTCTTAAATCCCGTTCTGCAGAGTCTGCTTCGCAAGCGTTCCCGGAAGTCTCGCGATGTTGTGTCTCTGGGTTTAAAAACTCTGTGGCGGTGCCCCTCCTTACTGCTTTCCACTAGTTACCACAGCCACAAAGTAAAATTAGGCTATTATCGTTAAGAGTTCATGAAAAAAATTAATGTGCTTTTTGTTCGTAATTTAAGGTTAGGGTTAGGCATAAGGTTAGCAGTGTGGTTAAGGTTAGGGTTAGGTTTAAAATCTGAGTTTAGGAAAATAAATGGTAGAAATAGGCGGGGTTTATGACTTTATGGCTGTTGTATCCAGTGACGAACCTCTTTACTAGTACTTCCGCACTGAAGGCAAATTGAAGTATTTTTCAAGACTATTCTAGATTAAAAAGTAGATTAATGTAAAGTGATTTTACCGAGACAGTTTTCGAGGCGGGATTTTCCTATTGACAATAGACGATAGGTGAATGTTTTCTCTAGCGCTGAAAATGTAGTAATGCTGTTGTCTTTTCATTCGGGACACTGGTAAAATATGGCCACTGTTTTAGAGTCGTATCTAGATTCCCGTGATGAAGAGAAAGAACGCCGAGTAGACATAATATGCTTTTGCTTGATCGTTTCACTAAAACAATGAATGACGCCTAGCTATGTTTCTGATTGATCCAAAGGGAGTGACGTCTTTTTTTCTGAATGTTTATCAAACATCAGTTTGTATCTGACGAATAGGCACCGCGTTTTTTTGCTGTCAACCACGTCTCCTCTGCACAGCAGCGTAATAATAGGCCTAAGAATAATAATCCTACTATATTACCAATTGAGATGGGTGATTTTGGGATTGTTTTACGTCTTGATATGTTTTGATATGTTGGAGTTTTCCTATTGATCTCTTATAATAATGGCATTATTATTGTTAAAATATTTATTTTATAGTAAGAACGAATATATTATGTTATGTCATGATTTTCTATTTTTGACTTCTGTATGAGTATGGGACTTCTGTATGAGTATGGTACACTTCTTCTCATGACACTGCTAGTCATTGCTCAGAAACATAAATTAATGTTGCACTCTCTTCTCATCATGCTTGACCCTTATCATATTGTATGAGCCTTTATAATGTCTTATAAGCCTTTATAATGACATATTATGTCTCTCTAGGACATTTTCAACTGCCTCAAACTGGCTGTTATTAAATCAGGATCATTCTGATAATATAATACCTCATAAAGGGATCATATTCTTATAAAAGTCTTAAAATGCATTTTAACCACATAATATTCCATATACCTGTTATCAAATTAATTGCCACTGTGTTTTCTCTCTCCCACCAGGCCTGCAGGCAGCTGCCATGTCCATGGCCCAGCAGCAGAACCAGGTGATCCTCCAGTTCCGCTTCGGAACCTTCGGAGACTCTATGCTGCAGAAGATGAACCTGCTTCGCTGCCAGACCCGCTTCTGTGACGTCACCGTGCGCATCAATGACCTGGAGGTACGCATCTATCAATCACCTGTGTTTGTACACTTATTATAAGCATTCTCTGCTGCTTTTACTGTTTACCAAGTTTTAATATATTTTGTATCTATTTTGATTATTATTTTATTACGTACATCACCATGAGTTGCAGTCTCTGTATGAATTGTGCTATACATTTTATTACATTTTTTATAAATATTATTATTAGGTCCCCGGTCATAAGGTGGTGTTGGCTGCTGGTTCTCCCTTCCTCCGGGACCAGTTCTTCCTGCAGGACTCGTCCACGAGGGAGGTCCAGATCTCCATGACCCAGGAGGCGGAGGTGGGCCAGCGGCTGCTGCTCTCCTGCTACACGGGCACCCTGGAGCTGCCTGAGCTGGAGCTGGTCAACTACCTAACTGTGGCCAGCTTCCTCCAGATGGGCCACGTGGTGGAGCAGTGTACCCAGGCCCTCAAGAAGTTCATCCAGCCACGACACTGCCAAGTGAAACAGCAGCCTCAGGAGGAGGAAGGAGATGGAGGGACTCTCAGAGCCTCTCCCACCCAGAAAATACAGGAGCTGCCCCAAGCTCAGTTAATACATCGTGAGGAGGAGGATGATGAAGATGATGATGTGATAATTCAGCCGATGACCCCTCCCCAGAGGCAGAGGCGAGACAGGGGTGAGGGCGAGGAGAGCCCCATCACCATCGTAAAGGTGGAGGCCGTTTGTGAGCGGGTGTCGGAGATGTCTGAACGCTCCTCTGCCTCCATTGCAGGGTGCTTCCACACCAGCCCCCCATCGTCGTTACACTCCCCTGAGCCCCAGCACTCCCTCATCAACTCCACCGTGGACACCCGGGCTGGCGAGATGACCATACCACAAATGCCAGGATACCCGCTCAGCCCCCCTCCACTACCCACCTCAGCCATTGGGAGACCTAATCTGGGGGGCCACCTACGAAACTCAGACAAATCACTTCAGTGGTACCACCAATGCCCAAAGTGTGCCCGCGTGTTCCGCCAGCTAGAGAACTATGCCAACCACCTCAAGATGCACAAGCTGTTCATGTGCCTGCTGTGTGGAAAGACGTTCACCCAGAAGGGTAACCTGCACCGGCACATGCGGGTCCACGCTGGCATCAAGCCCTTTCAATGCAACATATGTGGCAAGACCTTCACTCAGAAATGCTCTCTCCTGGACCACCAGAACTTACACAGCGGAGACAAGCCCCATCGCTGTAACTACTGCGACATGGTGTTCGCACACAAGCCCGTGCTCCGCAAACATCTCAAACAAATCCACGGCAAGAACAGCTTTGACAACGCCAACGAGCGGAGCCTACTACATGACGGGGTTCTGGATTTTGAGTATGGGCATCTGCAGGACTGTAGCATGGACAATAGCATGGACAATAAGCCTGTTGTTATGGATAACTCTCTTTAGTGCTGTATCACGTTTAATTTCTGCTGAGTCATAAATTAATAGCTGCGTAGTAATGTTAGCTTAATTGTAAACCGTATCGTACGGTACTTGAAGGTACAACACTGAATATTAGAATAAAAGTTACTGTATACAGTACATGTGTTCATATTTCATAACAATATTAATTTAGTGAATGAGTTAACATGATATTTAAAAAGCTGCCCTGATTGTGTGTGGTGTCATTTTTGTAAACATGCAAATGCTTATTTTATTTATGAATAGACAACAGAATGTGAATCTGTTAGATTTTTTATCAGATGAAAGTAGCCAGCTTTAAAAATGTGTCATGCTGACATTTCTGTTAAGTCACAACAAGTGTTCTTAAGTGAAATGAGTGCCAAAAATATTTACTGAAATGATTTGTCCTCAGGAGGATTGTTTTGGCTAAGGTAGCCCACAGTAGGACCAAAGTGATGATAGTGTGTCTGTAAAAGATAATATGTTATTATTGTCGATTAAGCCTGTTTTGGAAATGGGTAGACAATAAATGTTGTATCTTGTATGAGTACGTGACATGTGGGTGAGAAGGATGAGGATGTTGTGTTTCTACTGTGCCATATCAGAGGAGCAGACACCCAACAGGAAAACAATGAGTCCCACATTACTTTAAGCGACACTAAAAGCTGATATATTTGCAATGTTATTAGATTGTTAGGTACAGGATAATTACAGTGTGTGTACACATTAGTACTTAGTACAGCCAGTTTGGGGCCAACTGTCAATTGAAAATGTATTTGCAAATCTAATTGATAGCCTACAAAGTCCAAACATGTATAGTTGTAAGTACTATGCAACAATGTGTATCTACACTGTAATTACACTGTACCTGTCAATGTAACCACCATGTAAATACTAGTACACATTTTTTTCTGCACAATGGAACCAATCAAGTTACTGTAGTCAGCCTGTAACCCCAAAAGCATTACTATGCTTCCTACAGCAGATGGAGCCATTGTATACCATGTAATCTCACAACATGATGTGCTGTCTTTTGTATCCTCTGAGAACACTACATGTAGATGGCCATTGTTGTGGTTGTATCACTGATGTTACAGTACTGTATTTCAAGATTGTAAGATGATTTACGTTGATGACCGTACCTCATGCCACAGCATCAGGGTTATTATAATGTAGTAAATTAATGGACTCATCATGTTTACACTATTATTTTTATCTGCTCCATTTAGATATCAATATCCTATTGTACTTCATACCATGCCTTACGAATAGATGTATTCACTGTCACACTGATCTATTGTTTTAGTTACATACAGTACCAGTCAAAGGTTTGGACACACCTACTCGTTTTTCTTTATTTTTACTATTTTCTACATTGTAGAATAATAATGAAGACATCAAAACTATGAAATAACACATATGGAATCATGTAGTAACCAAAAAAGTGGTAAAGAAATCATAATATATTTTATATTTGAGATTCTTCAAAGCAGCCACCCTTTGCCTTGATGACAGCTTTGCACACTCTTGGCATTCTCTCAACCAGCTTCATGAGGTAGTCACCTGGAATGCATTTCAATTAACAGGTGTGCCTTCTTAAAAGTTAATTTGTGGTATTTCTTTCCTTCTTAATGCGTTTGAGCCAATCAGTTGTGTTGTGACAAGGTAGGGGTGGTATACAGAAGATAGCCCTATTTGGTAAAAGACTAAGTCCATATTATGGCATCAGTCACACCTGGACTTCAATACTACCTTCATTACTTACCATTTATCTAGCACTCTGTTTTGTCAGTCATCAGGTAGGATTGTTTGTGTTTCCATGTCAGACGCTTCTCTTGTTTTGTATCGTTCCATGTTCGTTATCATTAAACTCACTAACTGCACCTGCTTCCTGACTCCCTGCGTCTACGTTACAGAATACTACCTCAACAAATGGAAGCAACAGTTAATCAAGACATCTCCCAGATGGTCGGCGAACAGGGACACCTACTTCGTCAACACCACGACCAGCTGGCTAATTTGGGAACAGCTTTGGATGAGGTCCTCCGCGTTCTTCAACGAGTCGACATAACTCAAGGGGCTTCATCTCCACAGAGCGGAGAATTCTCTATCACAAGTCGACCCAGCGAGCCAATACCCCAGCCCATCCAGCAGTCCGTTTTGGTCAGCGATGCCCGATTGTCCCTTCCGGACAAATATGATGGGACTCCATCGAAATGCCGTGGCTTCCTACTCCAGTGCTCCCTCTATTTTGCTCAACAGATGGGAGCCCCCACCATCGAGTGCTCCAAGGTTGCCATTGTTATTTCTCTGCTGACCGGACGGGCATTGCAGTGGGCCACGGACATCTGGGAAAGAGGGGAGCTGGGTTCCTATGAAGGGTTCATGGCTCTGTTCGACCATCCACCGGAGGGCAGAGAGGGGGGTGAGCGCCTACTCCAACTACGACAGGATGGCCAGACTGTGGCGGAGTACGGGCTCACCTTTCGGACAGTGGCAGCATCCAGCGGATGGAATGAGCCGGTGCTCCGCACCCTATTCGTGAGTGTTCCATCATCACTTTCCGCCAAACCTTTCCTAGGATCGATTTCACTGACTTGCTGTCCTTCATGTTTTGTTTTTACAGCTCTAGTGGACTCCGGTGCCGTTGGAAATTTTATTGACCAGGCCCTCGCCCCCTCCCTTAACATCACCTCATACCCACTCTCCTTTCCTTGTCCGGTTCAAGCGCTGGATAGTCAACCACTAGGATCCGGGACAATCACACACATCACAGCACCACTCACCCTCACTGTGGAATCCATACATCAAGAAAGCCTTCCCTTCCTCGTCATCAGTGCACCCGTACACAAGATCATCCTCGACCTCCCATGGCTTCAACGTCATAACCCCACCATCTCATGGCCGAGGATGAAAATCACCGACTGAGCACCCGAATGCCGGAAGACCTGCTTTTCCTTTCCCTGTGGTTCCACGTGAATTGAGAGTCCTGTGGTTGCCCTTCAGCTCAACATCCCAGAGGTATACCAGGATCTTCGGGAGGTTTTTTCCAAGACCCGCACCACCTCTCTCCCTCCTCATCGCCCCTGGGACTGTGCCATTGACCTGCTTGCAGGTTCTGCGCCTCCGCATCTACCCTCTGTCGGTGGCTGAACCCAAGGCTATGGAGGAGTACATCCAGGAGTCGCTCCAGCAGGTTTCATTCACACGTCCACCTCCCCTGCGTCGGCAGGCTTCTTCTTCGTGGCCAAGAAGGATGGAGGCGTTGCGCCCATGCATTGATTACAGAAATCTGAATTCCATCACCACGAAGTACCGCTACCCTCTCCCGTTGGTGCCGGCTGCGATCGAACAACACCGCAAGGCCCAGTTTTTTACCAAGTTGGACCTGCGGAGTGCCATCAGTTTGATCCGCATCCGGGAGGGGAATGAATGGAAGTACTTGGTGATGCCTTTTGGATTAGCCAATGCTCCGTCAGTGTTCCAGGCATTCATCAACGAGGTGTTCCGGGACATGCTTGGACGCCAGGTGGTCGTGTATATAGATGACATCCTGGTCTACTCGGCTACCTTGGAGGATCACATCGCTCACGTCCGAGTAGTCCTGGAACGCCTCCTGGCCAACCACCTGTACATCAAAGCGGAGAAGTGCCAATTCCATCAGGAGGATGTCTCCTTTTTGGGTTACCAGATCGGCCCCCAAGGAGTCATGATGGATGAGAAGAAGGTGTAAGCTGTCAGGTCATGGCCAGTCCCAACCACCATAAAGGGGTTACAATTTTTGGGGGGATTCATTAAGAACTTTAGCTCAATCGCCTCTCCTCTCACTTCTCTCCTCAAGGTTGGTCCCGGAAGTTGGGGTGGAATCCTGCAGCTGACAAAGCCTTCCGGCCTACTGAAGGGACGTTTCACCTCTGCCCCATTGCTCAAACTATCACGTTTTAGGGAAGACCCAGATGCAGACATTGTCGAAGTAACGAAAGTTTATTACTAGAACAGGGGGCAGGCAAAACGACAGATCAAGGGCAGGCAGAGGTCAGTAATCCAGATCAGAGTCCAAAAGGTACAGAACGGCAAGCAGTCTCAGGGTCAGGGCAGGCAGAGGTCAATAATCCAGTGTGGTGGGCAAGGTACAAGACGGCAGGCAGGCTCAGGGTCAGGGCAGGCAGAATGGTCAAAACCGGGAAAACTAGAAAATAGGAACTTTAGAAAAGACAGGAGCAAAGGGAAAAACGCTGGTAGGCTTGATGAACAAAACTAACTGGCAACAGCCAAACAGAGAACACAAGTATAAATACACTGTGGATAATGGGGAAGATGGGCAACACCTGGAGGGGGGTGGAGACAATCACGAAGACAGGTGAAACAGATCAGGGTGTGACACAAACATCCAGATCCTACGCTGCCCTTCGTGGTGGAGGTGGACGCTTCAGAAGTAGGTGTGGGAGCTGTCCTGTCCGAACGTCAAGGTAATCCACTGAAATTTTACCCATGTGCATATTACTCTAAAAAGCTGTCTCCTGCAGAGAGGAACTATGATGTTGGCGATTGGGAGCTCCTGGTGGTGAAGTTGGCATTATTGGAGACACTGGCTGGAGGGCGCCCAGGACCCATTTCTCATCCTCACTGACCATCGGAACCTGGAGTACATATGAACAGCGAGGCGACTGAACCCGCGCCAAGCCAGGTGGGCCCTTTTCTTCACCAGATTCGATTTCATGCTGACATATCGCCCAGGTAAAAAAAAAACATCAAAGCCGATGCCCTGTCCCGTCTCGACGATTCGGGAGAGGTTCCTGTCTTGAGTGCACCCATAATTCCGCCCTCTGAATTCGTAGCCCCCGTGCTCTGGGACATAGATGTGGACATTCGCCAGGCCCTGGAGAGGGAACCTGCTACCTGTCCTCCTGAGCGCACCTACATTCCCACTGGGTTAAGGGATTGGCTGTTGACCTGGACGCACACAGCTGTCGTTGCTGGATATCCAGGTATCACCTGCACCATTCAGTCCATCTCTGGAAAGTACTGGTGGCCCACCTTGGCGCAGGACGTCACTCGTTATGTCAACTCCTGTTCTGTATGTGCCCAATCCATATCCCCCGGAATGCTCCAGCAGGGAAACTCCACCTTTCGTGCCTCAGCGTTCCTGGTCTCATCTGTCCATTGATTTAGTCACTGATCTCCCCTCTTCTGATGGTTTTACCACAATTTTTGTGATAGTGGACAGATTCTCTAAATCATGCCGTTTCATCCCTCTCTCTGGTCTCCCTACCGCTATCCATGTTGCTGAGGCACTGTTCGAGCAGGTCTCCCGGCACTATGGCCTTCCGGAGGATATCATGTCCGATCGTGGCCCCCAATTCACATCAGGTGTATGGAAGGAGAAGCTTGGGGTCATGGTCAGCCTCACTTCCAGGTACCGGCCTCAACGGGCAGGTGGAGAGGATGAACCAGGAGCTGGGGAGATTCCTGAGGAGCCACTGCCAGGACCGGCAGGGGGTGTGGGCCCGATTCCTTCCCTGGGCTGAATACGCCCAGAATTCATTGTGACACTCCTCATGTTTCCCTCCTCAGGTGGTTCCTGGTCCCCTGGCTGATGCCGTCCCCCACGACACCGCTCCGCCTCCCTTGGACATCGAGGGGAGCCCCACCTATGCCGTGAGATCCCTCCTGGACTCCCGACGTCGTGGGGATCGGCTCCAATACCTGGTGGACTGGGAGGGGTATGGTCCAGAGGAGCGGTGTTGGGTTCCGGTGGACAACATTCTAGATCCCAACATCATCAGAGATTTCCACCTTTGTCGTCCGGACTGGCCCGCTCCTCGCACTCAGGACCGTCCCCCTTGCCAGTGTCGTCCTGCGGCTGGAGCCACGCGTCGGGGCGGGTACTGTTACGTCTACTCCTGCTCCGGCTCTCGACGTCACCAGTCTACTAACCACCAGTCCTGGCAACCCATCTTTATGCACACCTGGTAACCATCATTACGCACACCTGCACCCTATCATCAGTCACACCTGGACTTCATTACTACCTTCATTACTTACCATTTATCTAGCAGTCTGTTTTGTCAGTCATCAGATAGTATTGTTTGTGTTTCCATGTCAGACGCTTCTCTTGTTTTTTATTGTTCCATGTTCGTTATCATTAAACTCACTAACTGCACCTGCTTCCTGACTCCCTGCGTCTACGTTACATTTGTTCTGTGGTATATGTCACTGTCTGTTGTCACTGTCTATGTTCTATTGGTACAGATATTGCTTGGCCTGACATACAGTTATTTTGTATATGTGGCCCCCAATTAAACCAGCTCTGTGTCTGTGTGTGAATCCA